TAGTGGGGGCTCACCACCATCAATAGCTTCGATGGTTAGGAAATAATTTCTACAAATTTCGTAGTCCAATGGTTCTCGAATGCTCAAAACACCAGTTTCGCTGTCAATAGCAAATTTCTTGTGCCCATTACCACTAACAATAGAGTAGGAAATTTCTGCATTCACTCCAATGTCTTTGGATGTGGCCATTACTTTCACAACAGTGGTGTCTACAGGTGAAAGTTCTGGTACTACTGCATGGTAAAGTTTTGAAACAAATTCTGGTGGATTATCATTTACGTCTAAGACTTTCACATAGAGATGGGTTCTGGTTTTCAGCTGAGGGGTGCCTTGGTCTGATGCCTCCACAGTCAAGTTGTAATGATCTTTTTCTTCTCTGTCTAAAGGTTGGGCCGAGGTAACAATACCACTGTCACTGGTAATTTTAAATTGAGGTTTACTGAGGAAGGCTGGGTCATCTTCAACTATTACATATCGTACTTTACGATTGATTCCTAGAAAGAAAGAAATAAATAAAGACCATTGAATAAATATATTACATTAACACACACCTAAAAAAAAACAACAAATAAACATAGAAACAATTGTTTTACCTGTATCATTGTCATTTGCATGAAGTTTAGCAACTAAGGTTCCAACTTGAGCATCTTCTGATAGTGAAGCTGTATAAGAGACCAGAGTGAATTGAGGAGCATTGTCATTAACATCGGCTATAAGGATTTCAACTTGAGAACTGCATTCCCATCCTTGTGTTGTCCCATCTCTGTCTTGAACATGTGCAGTCAACAAGTATTTGCTTTGAGTCTCCCGATCAAGAATATGCGCAGTTCTAAGGTGACCTGATGGTAAAAAAAAAAAGTTTTAGCTATGATAAGCCAAAAACATTTGTATGCAATGCGAAAACTTATAATGATATACTTATTTCTTCACATACCTCCAGCTTTGTCAAGGGAAAAGTGTTCAGCTCCTGTACCAGTCAAGTAGAAACGGAAATTTTCATGAGATTCTTCATCAACATCTGATGCTCTAACACTCAACAAAAATGTCCCAGTATCTACATCCTCAGCCACAACAGAGCGATAACGATGGCGTAAACAGTATGGGGGATTATCTATCACAAAGGTAACCACCATTTTAAACATTTAGAATTAATTCATACTCATACAACTTCATTAATAGAAAGGAAAGGGAATGAAATAACTTACCATTGGCATCTAAAATTTCAATGGAAACATTTGATGTTGACACAAACTTGCCATCTGTTGCTACTATTTGCAGATTGTAATGAGGAAC